GCTTATAATGGTAGTCGATGGCATGTTGATTTTCTATCATTATGCTCGTACTTGCAGAAGACAGTTCGTAGTGTTGGTCGATTATTTATTTGCCAATTTGATCATAATACACATACCTATACAGGAATGAGAAGAAAAGAGGTACGTAAGGATGCTAGTGGATGATGCTTGTCACTTATTACATAGATGAATTCATGAGTGTATCTATATTATTATTGTTTAGTAGTAGATTATTTCTGTGAAAGAAACTATAAGTAATTAATGTTAGAGTGCGTTCACATCTGACGAAAGCGCCGAGAATGCACAGCTCGCGCGCTGATTGCAAAACGGCGCGCGTGGGGCGCACGAACAAAGATGCACACGAGCAGCTCGCGAGCGGCTCATGAGCGGCTCGCGAGCAACGTATTCGCAAGATGTGGACGCACCCTTATAATTCAAAATATTTTTTCATCTGTATGGGCTTGCTAGAATTTTTTTTTGTACCGTGGACTTGATATTATGACAACCCGTTCTTTAGTTGTTGTAAATAAGACCTAGCTAAAACAGATTGAGGTATTCAAGTGTAATGAAGCAAATTTGAACTAGTGAAAAAGGCATTACCGTTCCATAAGTATAATTATAATTTCTAAACAAACATGTACTCTATTATTAAGGCTTTACAATGCAATATTTCTTTGCAGGAAAAAAGTGATATCACTTTCGTTTACTCCCACATCAGAAAGTAATCCATTTGCAGACGCCATGTCAGATGGGTGACGCAAGGCATTAAGTACTCTTTTGTCACACCTTAACGTTCTAAATCCTTTGTATTTTTATTAGATTTTGGATTTTCCTTATAAATGTAATTTACTTTTACTTGTTGCTTCTAGATTTTGTATTGTAGAGGTATATTTAATCATTTGTGGGATTCTAATCCTTAATATTATAAGTACAAAAGTTTGATTTATTTGCAGTGTTTTTGTGGAAATGAGACCTATGCTTTTTCGATGTTAATTCTTTACATCACACTAATATTATAAATATGAAAGTTTCTTTCTTTGAGTGTTTGATTATTTAGATGTTTATCCGTCACCCATACTGAAATTACTGAACGGATTTTGATCATATTTAATATACAGGCAAGGTATGGGCTGACTTAGGTGCTAAAATAGCTTTTTATCTGGGTTAAATGCTCCGATCTGATTAAACAGTAATCATATATTCACGTCCGCTATAAGACTGTACCAGTACCCATTTGAAAGAACGTTTATCCGAGATTTTTCGTCTGTCCATCGGAAAACAACACCTAAAATAAAAGAGTTGAGTTTGAAGTTCCAATACGACTTAGAATTATAGATCTGCAGACAACCCCGCATGCGTTGTAGAGTTCTACGCACGTAAAAACCGATGAGTCAGCGACTTCAGTACAGACTTGCTTTAGTCGCTACTTTCATACATATGTAGGGAGGACCAGTGCCCAAGTATTGGCACTGTTATTTAGGATCTGTTCAACAATGTGTGATTAACTGCTAACATACCGTACTTAGGGCCGATTTTTCTAACGCCAAATAAATTTTAACAGAGGAATAACTTTGAATATTTGACAATTCTTCCATATTAAAAACAAAAACAAACAAATGGCAATTATATTTTACAGTTAAGAAATTAACTGATGCTTGAAAAATCGGCGCTTAGAAGATCTACATGTATATCGACATATTATTATACACATAATGTATTTTTTTTATTGTTTCAGTGAAAAGGCTCTTGGAACTGTTAATAGTAATAATTCGCCGAACTATTCGTAAATGACTGCCATGTTGGCCGAGTGGTCGCAAGTGCGACTGCCGGACAAGTGGTCCAGGGTTCCATTTTTGGGCTTAAAAAAAATTTCACGGTGTCTGGAATTGTGCCCGGTATATGGCAATTACATGTGACTCATAACATAAAATAGTGAAAAGCTGGTGTCCCTTTACATTAAGTGCCATAATGTGCACTTCTGCCTACGCCTTCGGGGATAAAAGGCGTGATGTTAAAATTGGTTTAAACTATTTACTGTATCGATACATCTTTAATACATATTTGCAGCAGGCAGCGTGGAGTTGTCATGCTTAATCAAAGATGTATGCTCATTGGCGGTGGCACGTGCATTGGATCGCTCGATTCCCTACAATATGGTTGAGTTGGGCTGGTATAAGTATCATGTTCGTGAACGGGCGCCGTCAACTGGGACTGGTCAGCTTCAGACTGTATTATTTATTGTCCTTAAGGTTATTTTCTTTTACAATCGCTTTCACTGGATTTTGGTGTTACATTGTTCTCACACTATCGATCCAAGAAAACTATGTAACTTCAGAATGGTACTGTAAACCTGATTGAAAAAGAGTAATCTATGGAGTTTATTACTCATTCTTCTCCATAGGAATGTAGATTCCTTGATATGAGCCATAGCTTACCTTACCTTACCAAGGAATGACTAAACAGATTCACTTTTAAATTTTTGTTGTTGACGTTCAAAAGTGCCTTCCTGTAATTGAAATAAATGATTTTGACGTTGACTTTACAGCACCATGGTAACTCAATAAACACAAAGATTCCCATAGCATTACAAACATAGCCAGAGTAGTTACAACACAGAAAACCGTACTTTTAAACCAGAAATAAAAACAGTATTCTTATTAAGAAGTCCTAAAGCCCCCTTAAGCGGTCTAGCGTCCATAGGATCTTTTAATTCGTTCCTTTCGCCATTTATATTGAATGTTTCGTTTTCTGTTTTAATTTAAAAGACTTGGTTAGTCTGTGTAGTAAAAGTTAATGAGGCAAGCCCTGGGTTCGGTTTGTTTACCCTTAGAGAGTCATGGGGAATGAAAGGAGCATTTACCTTAGCCAGAAAGTGTTTTGGATAATGCTATTAAAACTATCCTAATTGCTTGCTGCTCTCAGGTTTTAAGATACTAATATAACTTATATTATAAAAAATAAAAAATTGTATGATTTTTTGTTCATTTATCACTCCTCTCCGTCAAAACGGCTGAAGAAATTAAGATGAAATTGGAACAGGGATTAGATTATGGTCTGGAAGAACACATAGGACAGTTTTAATCTCACGGGGACGCAGGTGAAGTTGCTGGTTGAAGCTAATGGTCTATAATAGCTAATAGCTTGTATGCATCAGTATGCACACAAGCAATGCCAAGAAATACGATGACTATGCAGTTTTTACTGTTTTCCAGTCTTGTAACATAATCTATAGGTATATACATAAAAATGAATCCCCCTTTCCCTTGGTTACGCGCAAATGCATCACGCGTGAATGGCTGGCCCGAATTCACTAATTCTTTTTTTGTTGTATTTGTTATTATTACGAGAAAAAATCCTGAAAATCCTATGGAAACGGGAGAAAACGCGGGCAGAAGCTAGTATAGGATATTTGAGAATTAGAAATTTCATTAGTACTTGCAAGGCATTTTTCTTCTGGTTGGTACTGCATTTTGTCACCCAAACAATATCATATAATGGTATAAAATGTTTAAATTCAAAGTCAAAATCAAAATCATTCATTTCAATTACTGGAAGGCACCTTTGAACGTCAACAAAAAAAGTGATACTATTTGCTCATTCCAAGGTGTAGATTCCTATGGTGAAGAACAAGCAAGAAACTCCATAGGATACTCTTTTTCAATCATGTTCACAATACCTACAAGAAATTTGTAATAGAAGAAGTTAGTAACAGTACTTAGAATTTTATATAGCCGTCTCCGTCAGCAAACATTAAAATAAATATACTGAGAAAAGCTCTACTAATTTCGAACCACAGAGGGCTTCTTCCTCATGAGCAGCGTGTGCGGTCGCGGCGACGTCGCGCAGCTCATAAGGAAGAACCCCTCTGTGATTCAAAACTAGTAGAGCTTTTCTCAGTATATTCACGTGAGTAACCCGTGATTTTAGTTAATTTAGTATGTCTCACTATAGTTATTATTAAAATAAACCAATTGTTTAAACTATTACAAACATGTTGTTTTTCTTCGACTCAACGATTCGAAGTACTTACACTTACGTACATACATGCTACATAGAAGCAGCGACCGCCCAGAAGAAGCGGCTATGAATAATGTAAGGTCTCGGCGTATGTTTTTGATAGCGATACCATGTAAGTAAACCCGGTAGACTAAACTACCACAAGCGTATTCTTTGTGTATTTATTTTAGGGTTTACAATGTTGTGTACTGTTTTTCTTTTCGGTATTTCTTTCTTCTAGGCTTCTTGTCAGGCGTTGGTATTTAATGTTGATTCTGAATTAATTTCGTGGTTGGAGTAGCTAGTCTATATAAATAAACTAGCGACCCGGCCCCGGCTTCGCACGGGTGCAATATGCATGTATTATACATACAAACCTTCCTTAAGAATCACTCTATCTATTAAAAAAAACCGCATCAAAATCCGTTGCGTAGTTTTAAAGATCTAAGCATACATACGGACATACAGCGAAAGCGACTTTGTTTTATACTATGTATTGAAGAATGTCGTGTTAGTTACACTATTTATAACTTAAGAACAGCTAAATCGAATGGCTAAAATTTGAAAATTGGTGGGGACGTAGCTTAGAACTAGGAGACGGACATATGATACTTTTTAACTAAGAATTTCTCGAAAATCCCAAGGGAACGGGAAAATACGGGATGTCATCTATAAAGTCGTAGGGAAAAGCTAGTATAATAGAAATGTCAAGTTTTTTTTTGTAACAGGTAAATGGCCAACAGGGTACTGTTGTACCATCATCAACAAAAGTACCAAGTTGCGTTCCCGGTAAATTGTGATAAACGAAGCTTCCTGTTTTAATGAAAAACCTTTTAAAGATATTACGTTTCTCATACAACCTCCTTTGATATGTTTAATGCACTTTGCTTATATTTATAGCTTTTTGGTTATTATGGCGTTTCGATCAGGGAGTGGATAATAAAATGTATTTCTCAATAAGTTACGATGTTAGATGAATATACGAAAATATATATAGTATCTACCTTTAGATTCGCCAAACTCCGTCTTTGTTAATCTGTAAATATAAAAGGGATAAAATTATTTGATGTCCAGTAGGTATTCTAACATAAAATTGATATAATTTAACTAACAGATGGACCAAAATATATTTTAATAATCTAGAAATTTAAATTCAATTATCCAGTATAACAACAAAATGAAACATTCGACACAAATCTACCAAAAACCCAATAAAATAAACAATTGTTTACAAAGAAGAAAACAAAACAATACAATAACGTTATTGCGATCCTAATCATACAAATATTATAAATCCAAACATCCCATGAAGTTTGCAGTTTGAATATATTAACGTGTATGGACAAACGAGGTGGAAATTAAATTTTTGTTAGGCGAGTTATCCCAAACAAACATTTCTGTGATGTTAGCTAATTGTCCAGCCGTGAAATACAATACAGCGCCATCTGTCGGCCCTCCTGTACAGTCGTCGACAGGTGGTCGAAGTAAACTTTGTAATTACATTTTTTTAGTCCTAATTTTGGTTGGTGTTATAAATCAAATAAGTTTTCTGATTTGATTTATTTATTGCTTTGTTATTAAATGTAGTAGATTCACTAGATTGAAATGATAGGTCAGAACAATCTTTTATTTTTATATTAGTTAATGTGTACAATTACGTACATTAATTTATCAATACATCTAATTTTAGTAATAGGTACATTGTATTTTTCTGTACACCAATAATGACTGGTAAAGATTATGTGCTGTTAAACGACGACGAATCAACTAAATGAACGTCACTAGTTTAATATATGTTATTGACAGCACTAGCTGTCATATTGACTACGTCATCTGTCAAATGTGTCAAATGATTAGTAAGTTCCCGCGCAGAGTAGTAACGGGCACGGCTGTTCCTTGTGAAGCTGGTTAAGAATAAACTTTTTGCAGTATTGAAGTATTGAGTTTTACTTAAAAGTAAATCATTGTTGTCCAAATGCTACCGTGCAATAAAGTCTAAATAAATAAACAATAATAAACAAATGTTAAATACCAATTTCACTCACTATCAAATGAAAAACATTATATATTTTTTATTATCAATATATTTTTTACACCAACCACTTTTCTCCACCCCAGTACCAATGTACTAATACAAAAATATCACAGTGCCCCGTCTGCACATTGTTTGTGATCACTCTCAATTAGATTCAGTCCAGACTCAGGTATTAATATCATAGTTCATCTATTAACGAACCTAGGGAACTATTTCCTGGATTGGAAAATTCTAGAATTGCTTTAGTCATTCCAGTTATCGTTCTATCTTGATTAAATATGGTTAATCTGATTTATTATTGCTTTTACGATTCTAATGTGATTTAGATGTGATCTTATTGGAATTAATGTTTTTGTTTGTTGATTACAAATTATGATAAATTTTTTGTTTATTTTTGGATTTGTGTGCTATATTTGGGAGCTAAAATGTTTAATAAGTATTTAGATATTATATGGTTGCCACCAAATAGGAGTTGGCTCACATTTTTTAAGTGTGCCTTGCACTATAGGCTTTAGTAGATGTAGTGCCAATCTACAAAACGGCTGAACTGATAATGAGAATTTCTACACTAAAAAAGTACCTACTACAACTTCATCATTCACTTTTATAATATCTTCACCAACAAGCCAATTAGCATTTATTTTAAGCAGACACTAAATAATTTACTACAGAAAAGCACGCAATAAGCCATAAATTAAATTACTCTAGTTACAATAACTAGGAGCCTCAGTGTCGCAATAATCTTCGATGTTACGACCTGGAGGAAATGAAGAGGTCGGTTTGCAATCAAGACTACATTATTAACACTTAGACACTAGCGCACGAGTAGTTTAATAGGTTCACCTTAATCTTAGAACACATCAACCTAAGCTCCAAGGCCTTCAGGTGATTAGTTTAATCGTAAGTAGCGTTTCATCGCTCCGAATTAGTACCCCCATAAATTAGGCACAACATCATCCAAGAAATTTACATAATATGGAGATTCCCATTCCACCAGACCTTACGTTTTAAGTGCTTGCTGCGGCCTATTCTTAATTAGAAAGGTACAATGTTGCCAACCTCGCGAATTTATGTGCCCACACATCTTGAGAATTATCTAGACTTGGGAAATTGTAGGGAATTTCTAAATGTAAAGGGAAATTGCCTGGGTTGAGGCACATTTGTTTTAATATTCAGGCTATAGGCAGGAGTATTTATTTGAATAGGTTCATTTAAGTATTATAAATGGTCAGAAGCCGGAGGGAGGAGTAAATTGTCGATCTTAGAGCCTGTAAGCTGTAGCGTTGCTGGCGATAATGATTGTATTATTATATAAAAGAGATGTTAATTTAGCGAGGCATCTGCGGATTATAACAGCAGTAGGATAATATGCTTCTTAATTAGAACAATGAATGAACAGTTTGTTGATTTGGTTCGGTAGTACCCTTGCCGGTGCTGTCAATAAGCCAGTAAGCCCAGGCTGGTATCATTTTTATAGAGGTACATACACTTTAGAAAACCCTGTAATTTCCAAAACAATGACTGCCTCGTTGGCCGAGTGGTTGCAAGTGCGACTGCTGGGCAAGGGGTCTCGGGTTCGATTCCCGGGTCGGGCAAAGTATTACTGGCTTTAAAAAAAATCTCAGTAGTAGCACAGAGTCTGGAATTGTGCCTGGTATATGGCAATAGGCTCATCCCCTATTACACGGCACTCATAACTTAAATAGTGAAGAGTTGGTGTTACATTGTAAAGTGGCATTAAGTCCGTAAAGTGCACCTTTGCCTACCCCTTCACGGATAAAAGGCGTGATGTTATGATAAGTGTAGAAATATTTTTAGGCGAATTTTAAACACGGATTAAATGTAGTGCAAAATATTAACCAACTTACATCAATACATAGTATAAAACAAAGTCGCTTTCGCTGTATGTCCGTATGTATGCTTAGATCTTTAAAACTACGCAACGGATTTTGATGCGGTTTTTTTTAATAGATAGAGTGATTCTTAAGGAAGGTTTGTATGTATAATACATGCATATTGCACCCGTGCGAAGCCGGGGCGGGTCGCTAGTTTATTATACACGAGTAAGTGAAACTCGGCCACACAAACAGAGACACAGAATAGAAATAAATGCAGAGTGTCAGTGGCGTCAGGTTAATTTGGGGCTGGCGACTGGCAAGGGAGAAAGCGCAAATTGACAACTTTATTATATTCTTGGGGAGCGCGGGACAAATTACCCACTGCGGTTTTGTACAGCACCACCTCCGCAATCAAAGTCACCCCCAGATTTTTTAAAGCAACGTACACTCTGAGCGAACTTTTTTTACTTTTTGTCACTAGCCTGCTTTTTAACGTAAAGCGCTGTCAGCGTTTTTCGGTAGTTATCAAAAAAGTGTTTGCCAGGAAAATTTTAAGTTTTATAGCAATTTTTTTAGATTGTGTTCGTTTTGACTAAGTTAGAACCGGACCGCGTTTTTGTGATACAAACATGATTGATGTTTACACAAGCCGGAATTTATGGAAGCCGGAACTATTTGAAAATATGACTACTAACAACAATATGAAATTTAAAACTAGAACAGTATGGTTTTTATATTTTTTATGGCATACGCCGGTAAACGCGCAGACGGATCACCTGATGTTAAGCAATCGGCGTCGCTTATGGACACCTGGAACACCAAGGCGTTACAATACAAGCATCTATACGTTACCGGTCTTTTGGGAACAAGGAATTTGAGAATTGTGGGGGATTGGGGGATTGGGAGACTGGGGAGAGGGGGTAATTGGTCCTCCGGTAACCCCACTCACACGACGAAACACAACGCAAGCGTTTCACGTCGCTTTTCTGTGAGGCCGTGGTATCACTCCGGTCGAGCCAGCCCATTCGTGCCGAAGTATGGCTATCCCACACTTGAAGAGAATACATTTGTTGCTATCCCTACTCTTCCTGTGTATGTCCTATGAGCTAAATAATTTGATACAGGCGAGCATGCCCTTCTATTAACCTGAAACTTTAATCAACTGTCGTGGTCATTGTGCTAAAACCTCTCAGCGGACTGTCATCGGTTGTCGATGTTTGACAATAGATTTGAAATTCATACCTCGTATGAATAGAGCTGGCGATTAGCTAATTATGTTCTACCATTAGCACATCCCTTAACATTAGGGGAATTACAAGCGTACCTATTGTTTATTAACAATGAAAAACAGCATAATAAACTTCGTAACAAAAGAGGTAAAACTACTGTAAAAATGTACTAACACCGGCAAGTCAATCTACAACAATCTGCCGTTTAAATTTTCGACTTGACATGAAAACGTTAAAGTTGAAATTCGAATAAAGGATTTATACAGAAAGGAGTAGCTTGGCCTGCCGGTGTACTCTGTACAATAAATATTCATACCGCAATCTCGGGATTCACTATCACTAAAACAATTCACTGAATAACTAATACCGTTTAGTGTTGCTACTGATTTAAAATGTTACTTACAAGCTACTTTTAGTACGAGGTATAAAATAAAACTAAAACAAGATTTTGTTTTAGAAAAAATCTTTTGATAGAAGTAACTTAACACGCCTTTTAACTCCGAAGGGGTTGGCAGAGGTGCACATTATGCCAGTGTTCAGTGTAACACCCACTTTTCACTATACCCAATAGGGTATAGTGAAAAGTCTAGCACGGAGTCTGGAACTGGAATGTGTGCCCGGTATATGGCAATAGCCATACACCGGACACTCTAATTTTTCTTAAAAAACCTAGTAATTCTTAAAAAAACCGAACCCGAGACCCCGTGCTCGGCAATCGCACTAGCGACTACTCGGCCAACGAGTCATAAATAACATTACCATAATGATGTTCCACAAACAAAGAGTGTCTATCTGATTGAAAAAGCTCTTTCTAAGCTAATTAGTTTACATAACAAATTGTAATTTATTACAGTGATCGCGCAATTAGTAGGGAACATCTGTGGCCCCAGATGGGATTCAAACTAGGGACCCTCCTTTTAAATATTTGATAGAA